TTTTTCTTTAATGAAATCGACCTTTATCAATCTCTCGGAATATTTGGTACTCATTATAGTCATTGCTTTAGGGTTGGGGCCGGCCTGGGATGTTAGGTGGACGTAGTTGGTGAAAGTTACATGACGCCTTTGTTGAAGAGTGCTGAGGGAAAAATCATCCTCACAACTTTGCCCCAAAACTTCTCTTTTATTAACCAAAACGCCATTTGCTTAATCCTTGATGCCTTTGGAATGTGAAGTTACAAATCTGTAACCAGGTCAGTTTGTTCCCTAAGGGCTAAGGCTAAATGGCTATTCGGCTATAATCGAGCCCTCAAAATCCTAACTCCGTAATGGACCCTTACAACAAACAATCGGTTTAAGTCATTTACCGGTGATTGTTGGTGTGGATTTGAAACCGAACCGGTGTCAAAGCTTATCAGTTTTGCCGGTTCCACCCGGTCAATTCGGACCACATATGTCCCATTGTCATTAGTCTCGTCTTACGTGAATGCATGTATAAATTTGGTGCCACGTTTATGAGGGTGATGCTACCTGCTAAGTGCGTGATGGATGGTAGTTGAAGAACTCAGTAAAATTTTTAGAGTAACCAGTTGTTAGAAGTGAATTATTAAAATAAACAATCCATTTCTACCGTCCTTGTGGTAAGCAAATGACTCGCAAGGCCTCAGGCAAAACTTAACCTATAGTATATGATTTTGATTGAGTATACCTAACAAACTTTGTCTTTGGCATTCAACGAAAATACATGTCGTGGTTAAAAATTGCCATGATCGGCCGGAGAAAGGATTTTTGAATATCAAGTAGTAGTTATCATTAACTAAGAATAAATTGATGTTAATTTCTAATTAATAAGTAAGGAACTAAGATCTTCTTCCTCCTTCTTCCCCTCAGACATGGCCACCAAGTTTACACTTAAATGGGATGGATTAATTGATAAGGCACGTGTCCTCATTGAGATTAAAAAATTAAATTTTTGTTGTAAAAAATTAAATTTTTGTTGTAAAAAATTAAATTTTTGTTGTAAAAAATTTAGCCGTACTCCTTCAATAAAAAAATAATTATTATATTATACCTTCACTTGATAATAAAAATTAGGCAATATTTATGGCAAGATAAGTTTCTTTCGCCCTACTAATAGGTCACGATGTTTAATTATTAGATTAACTTTTCAACGATCAATCTGTGACTTGAAATAGTTATGTGTCACGCGTCTTAAATTTTTAACATAAACTTTCACAAATACGCCTGTTAAAAAATTAATGTAACGTTTAAAACAACAATACCTAGTGATAAGGTGAAAAACCTATCATACCATAAAAATTACCTAAAAATTATTATTAAACCCTCATTTAAGAGAGAACTTATTATTATTCTTTATATACTTTTATCCTTATGTTAGAAAAATTTGTCGTGCCACTCATTCTCATGTTGGCTCGTCTCCAAATGATCGGTTTTAGAATTACGCGTCATAAATTGGGATGCATAAATATAACCAGTACTCAAAAGCATGTTTGCCTAGCTAATTTATTTAATATTTTTTTTGCTTCAACTAACTACCCAACATGCACATTTGGAATTTATTCTAAAATAATTTTATTTTTTATATAAAAATAAAAATAAAAATATTTTCAATTTCAGACAAAAATTATTTTTAAAAATGCGTTTGATAGTTTTATTAAGAGATTATTTTCAGTATAAAAAAATCTATTAATATATATATATCTCTCTCTCTTTGCCCGAGAGAGGAGAAAACGAAAACAAAAAATAAAAAATAACTAAAAGTCATTTTTTCATTTCTCCATCATTTTACATTAAATCAAAAAATTATTTTCATTTTTATTTTTTGTATTTATTACACCAAACGCCGTTTTAAAAATATTTTCATTTTTTTTTTCTTGAAAAATGTAAAAAATAAAAACAGAATCAATTCCAAACAGGTCAACAAGTCAGCATCTTTCTCCCGGTTGAATAGGCCCAAATCACATAAAATATACTTAATCCGAATAAAAGGTTATTTTCACAAATGACTGCCGAATTATACACATTCCATACGTACAAGTAGACACAGACAAGCAAACCGGCCACTTGAGATCTAAAATATAAGTGGACATATATCTTAAGAGACAGAGAAACAGAGAACTAAACTTAAAGGATATGAATATTTGTAATAGATATTGTTGAATTTCAATTTGACACTAGAAGATTTAATTCTTAATTAGTCAAAGGTAAGAGCATGACTTTCTTTTTAAAAGGTTTCAGCCTTAACATTTTCATTAAATTTATGGGTTTTTAGACATTTATCCCTGAACTTATCATGATTTAATAAATTACCTTTTCAACTTTTAAATTTGACAATCAACCCCCTGAACTTGTTTAATTACGACAATTAAGTCCATTTGGTAAACGTATGTTATAAACTTCACAGAATTGCTCATGTGCACCGCACATGTGCCTATGAAAAGAGCATTTAGTGGTATTTTAACCCCCCAACTTAAGAAAATGGAGGGAAAATTTTAGGGGGGTTTTTTTTTTTCTCCATTTCCCCATTTTCCACCGGTGGTTCTCCGTCAACCACCATCGACCACCATCTCCGTTCAGCCTTGTCAAACCTCTGCACAAACCGAGCCAAACAGAGAAACCCACAGCCCACAAAACTTGTCCACGATGAAATGACCTTTCAAATTCGTGGGAAATACTATTCTTTTTTTATCAGATGTAATTCATGTGGGAGTGAGGTTTAAAATACCATTAAATGCCCTTTTAATAGGCACATGTGTGCGCACATAAGCGATTATGTGAAGTTTATAATAAATATTTACCAAATGGGCTTAATTGCCACATTTAAGCAAATTCAGGAGACTACTTGTTAAAATTAAAAAGTTGGAGAGCAATTTACTTAAATACGACAAGTTCATGAAGTAAATATGCTTAAAACTCTAAATTTATTAACGAAAAACCATCATAGTAGTGAAAACCACAATATTATGAATAAAAATACGCGACTCCATTCAATTTTTAAAATTTTAATTTCGTCCGTAAAATATTTTTAACAACTTAAGTCATATTGGTATTTTCATAAGAAAGTTATAGTTGTACCTTTACTTAATAATTAAAATGTGTTATTTCGTCTCTATTTTACAAGAAAAGTTACCACACAATAATATAAATATATCTAAACATAAGAGGAAACACAATTAAAAGTGAAATCCTAACAATCTAAACAAAAATAGACAAAAAATTGAAACTGAAATCTTAACAATCTAGACAATAATAGAAAAAAAATTAAAACTGAGATCTTAAAAATCTAAACAAAAATGAAAAAGAAAATTAAAAGTGAAATCTTAACAATCTAAAAAAATAGTTACGTTTTTTTTTAGTAAAATATGTGGCTATTGTTTATGTCTAAAAACGACAAAAGTAAAATTCCAAACATCTGTTTTATTTTTTTATTTTCTAAAACAACCACCTTCTCTATAAACTTCTCTTCAAATTGTTGGGCTATGATTCCAAACATATTTATATGTTTTTATCATAATACTTTTCTTACCCTATCATATATATATATATATATTTAATAATTATGCATCGGTTCAATAATTCATTTTGTTTTGTTCAAGATTGATTTAGTAAATATGGAGGATGTCGGAGGGCAAAATTGGTAGACCATAAAGTTTGAAAAAAAAGAGACAAAATGTCTAAAATTGTTCCCTAAAAAAGAAAAAAAAACTCCAAAAATTAGAGTCCCAAAGATCTCTCTCTCTCATGAGTCTTGAGTGATGAGGTGAGAGTATAAAAGCGAGTGTGGTGGTTGTTCCGTGCTCCATTGGCCGAGCCTATTCATTTCATTTGCCTCTCACTAGTCAATTCCTCTTCTCTTCTCCGCAACTCCTTCTTCTTCGTCCAAAACAATGGCTTTCCAGAAGATCAAGGTCGCCAATCCCATCGTCGAGATGGACGGTCATACTCTCCTCTCTCTCTCTCGCTCTCTCTCTCTATTTGCTCTGATCTGATCTGCTTCTGTATTCCTTTATTTTTCGATTCAATACAGCGTTTCTCATTGCGAATCGTCGAAAAAAATCCAACTCTTTAATTAAAAGCTACATTCGAAATATGAATCCGTGAGAAAAAATGATTTTTCTACGGATGAGAAATGTGGAAGATCCGTTTTCATGGAGTTAGATCCTGCTTTTTATTAGAATACACTCAGATTCGTAAATCGGAATTCCTTTTTTGTTTATTTAAAGATTTTTTTTACTCACAAGTATATTCTTTTTTTTTTATTATTTTTGTTGCTTTTCGACTGTTAATGGAAGATTTATTTAAGATTATATTTTCCGGTGCTTTTCTGTTTCGGTTCTATTTTGATGAATCTGATCTTTAAGTTCCATTTGGTGAATTATTTTGAATGTCTCATGTATCAAATCCAGATTTTTTTTTTTTCCAGTATATCAATAACTTTATGATGAAAGCTATGATTGATTCTTTTAAAAAAAAAAAAAAGAGCTAAGTTTGAAAGGACCTGGATAATATTGTGAGAGTTATTGGTGCTATCGCAAACATGATGAATATTAATTAATTGGATTTGAAAATTCGCAAAATTAGTCTGATATTGATATATATTTCTTTTCTTTTGATCTATACAGGTGATGAAATGACAAGGGTTTTCTGGCAATCAATTAAGGACAAGGTCATTTCCACGTTGTTTCTCTTCTGCTTAAGTGCATTATGGCTTGTCATATTATTATTTTTTTCTGGATTAAGCGTTGAATGGTTTCATTTTGATATGTTTGTATGTATGTTGTATGTGCAGCTTATCTTCCCATTCTTGGATTTGGATATCAAGTACTTTGACCTCGGCCTTCCTAATCGTGATGCGACCGATGACAAAGTTACCGTTGAGAGTGCTGAGGCTACGCTTAAGTATGTATTTGTTTTACATCTCTAGTTAAATGTTCAAGATGGTGTTCTTTCTTAGCCTGAAATATTTATATTTCTTATCTTTGAATTTATGTGAGAGTTGAGTGAAAAACGAATATCTATTTTTATTTTTATTTTTTGTTATTCTTATGGTATTTATTGACGTTTTATTGAGTTTTTTCTTGGAATTTTCTTACTCCTTATTGCTTTCTGAAACTTGGACTTTTTATCTTTAGGTACAATGTAGCAATTAAATGTGCAACAATTACCCCAGGTATATATAAATGAATTTATTGGGAAAAGCAGCATACACATTACTGATTGAGTCTTTCAATGCTGTATTTTCGTTAGAATTATGCATGGATAAAAACTCATATACTGGTGTTGATTGACAGACGAAGCTCGTGTGAAGGAATTTAACTTGAAGCATATGTGGAAGAGTCCAAATGGTACCATTAGGAACATCTTGAATGGTCAGTAGACTTACAACTGGTAAACTGCATAGCAATGTTTTGGGTTCCTTCATAATTTATTTTAAACTGAATTGTGGCTTTTCTACAGGAACCGTGTTCAGAGAACCGATCCTTTGCAAGAACATTCCTCGTCTTGTCCCAGGTATTTTTCTTGACAGTTTTTATGTGTGGTTTCAAGGGAATAGAGCTATATAGATTGTTCTTAATGCCAGGGTGGACAAAGCCGATATGCATTGGAAGGCACGCTTTTGGTGATCAATATCGAGCAACTGACACAGTCATTAAAGGAGCTGGCACACTGAAGTTGGTGTATGGTAATATTCTTTATTTTTTGACGGGCTTCATAAGACTATTCATTGTGCCAATTGTTGGTTGATATTTTTAATCTATGGTTCACTAGATACCTGAGTAGTTTTCACCTTGTTATTTTTTATTATGTTGTATGATATGGGCTTGCAATTGAAAGGCTATATATACTTGCAGAGCCAGAACAAGGTGAGAAGACGGAAATTGAGGTTTTCAAATTTACAGGAGCTGGCGGGGTAGCTTTGTCCATGTATAACACCGATGAGGTTTGACTATTTCCCCAGCAGTTCTGTTGTCATTATATCGATTCCTGTAACGCACTAATCTTTTGTTCACGTATTTTATCTTCTATGGGTGTTTGCAGTCCATCCGTGCTTTTGCCGATGCTTCTATGAACACTGCCTATGAGAAGAAGTGGCCTTTATATCTTAGCACCAAAAATACTATTCTTAAGAAGTATGATGGAAGGTAAGAAAATTTCTGTGTCAACTGGTTATTCATGATTTTATTCGTCACCATTGTTATTCAAGATAATCATATCTGTTATCTTTTTCTTAATGAAGATTCAAGGACATATTCCAAGAAGTTTACGAGGCCAACTGGAAATCAAAGTTTGAGGCTGCTGGAATCTGGTGAGGGGCTAGTTTTAATTTTACTAGACATGATGGTTAATGTGTTACATTCTTGCGATTGACCTTTTGTAATTGAATTTGAAGGTATGAGCATCGTCTCATTGATGATATGGTGGCTTATGCACTCAAGAGTGAAGGAGGTTATGTTTGGGCATGCAAGAATTACGATGGAGATGTACAGAGTGATTTCTTAGCTCAAGGTTTGTTAACTAACAATTTTCAAAAGTTGACAGAGTTGTGCACAAATGCCGTACTTGAACATTAAATTGAATGCAGTTTTGTTAACTTTCTCATATAAGAATTTGAACATGGCATTCTGGTTCTTATTTGATTTCTGACTTCTGCTTGCATGAAACAGGGTTCGGATCTCTTGGATTGATGGCCTCTGTACTGGTATGCTTTTCTCCTAGTTACTTTTATTAGTTTTAGGTTGTTTTTAATGACAATTATACTTCCTATGCACTTATAATCTATTTACCTAAAAATTTCTTTTATTTTGCTTAACAATGGTTGGAAGATAGACTGAATTTCCCTTACAAATTTTGGCCTTGGTTGCATATTGTTTTATGGAATATAAAATGTTTGAACCCCATATAATTGAGGTAAATGCCATTTATATTTATCATGTAAACAGAAATATGGCTAAGAAAAAAAAAAAGAAAAAGAAAATCCATACTAGAAGCAGACTTTGACGTGGATTTCTGTTGTGGGATTTATACTTTTCTTTTTGAGAATAAAAATAAAACGTGGTTACTTGTAGATGTATGAAGCTGTGTGTTCTAGTGAAATGCGGGCTGTATTTTAACATTCATTGCAATTTGGTTCAGGTTTGTCCTGATGGGAAGACTATCGAAGCAGAAGCAGCCCATGGTACAGTTACAAGGCATTACAGGGTTCACCAAAAAGGTGGTGAAACTAGCACAAACAGCATTGCTTCAATCTTTGCTTGGTCTCGAGGGCTTGCTCACAGGTACATTTATTAAGTTAATCTTTCAAGTTTGCTTTTGTTTAAAACTCCATTTCAAAATTCATGGGTGAGATAATTTTTATCAAAAATTGATTACTTATTGTTAACAGGGCAAATTTGGACAACAATGAGAGACTCCTGGATTTCACTCAGAAGCTGGAAGCTGCTTGTATTGGAGTAGTGGAATCTGGGAAGATGACCAAGGACCTTGCTTTAATTATCCATGGATCTAAGTATGTATTTGCCAGAAAGTTATTATCCACTGAGAGTTTCCATCATTAATGCTTAATGTATTCTCTTACGTGATGCAGGCTTAGTAGGAAGCATTATCTGAACACAGAGGAGTTCATCGATGCTGTGGCAGCGGAACTGAGAGCAAAACTTTCTTCCTAGGCATCATTGTATGTATGTGAACTATTATGCATTTGGCCCCTCTGCACTCGAATACTGATCTTACTTTCTCTTTTGTGCTTTTCCAATCTGGAGAAGCAGATTATCTTATTTGATTTACGGGGGGACAAAAAAGTTACAATATTTCTCTTTTAAGCCTTAGTTCTTGTATTGCATGTCTTGCTTTTCTTTTTTTTTTTTTTTTTTTTTTCCCCTGATAGTTTTATTTGCTTTGAATTCCCATCGGTTTTGGTTGTCTCAAAAGATTTCTTCCCCAACTCTTTCCAAAATGCTTAGAGTTGTCTCGAAAGATTTCTTCCCCAACTCTTTTCAAAATGCTTAGGTTGTCAATGAGCGTTATCTTCTTAGTAAAAAATTTAGGCCCTTGTTCACTGCTGAGTTTGAATAAAATTTGACTTGAATGTTGTTTTTTATTTGCAGGGCCAGGTATGCAAAGTGACATGAAAGAAAAGTTAGTCTAAGTTGGGGATTATTGAGACGAAATAAAGAATGTTGGGGCAATGATGGAAGAGTGGCTCTCTGACCCCCTGGTGAGAGGTTGCTGTTTCTGGGATTTATTACTTTGGTTGAGAGGAGAATTGAGGTTGTTTCTTTTTTGTTTTATGCCCAAGACGTTTGAGGTTTTGAATTAATCACATTTTAACTGTCAATTTTATATTTGAGGAAAAAGAAATTTTTTTCATCAGTTTAATGCCCACTCTGCCTCAATTCAACAATAATATCTGGTGTTGAATTTGATAGTTTAACATTGAATGATGCTTAATTCTGATGATACTTATTGCTATTTATTTAGGATGCTGTTTTTATTGTCAGCAAAAGTTTGGTTATGCTATTATTATGGCTCAATAATTCGCAGAAAAATTCCTAACTTTTTACCTTTTCAAATGATGAAAATCTTAGCGGAACTTGAGCCATGTTTATTTTGTTTAACTGAAAATTTTCTCTATTAGAAAGGTAAGCCGTAAGAGAACTAAGAACAAAGTTTTCTAACAATTTTATGAAAATTTCTTGAATTTTAGTTCCTTTTTTGCTGTGTTATCATCTATCATCTTTATAACGTATTGCTCTTTAAAAAGTTAAAATCTCCTTCCATTTAATTCTGTTGAAAAATTGAAAGAAAAAAATAAACAACTATAAACTAAGAAAGTAATCCCTGTATATTTCAAGTGTGTGTTCATGTGCACTCACTCATACCTACATTATACCAATGATGTCAAGACACCATTTTGCTATTGTAAAAGAATGGCCTTAATCTATTTATTTTAATGAGAAGTTTCGCTGAATGGAAGTGGACGCTGGCCAGTGAATTTATGATGTCATTTAGAGAACTTGTTCATTCCAAGACCTATTATCTAACAAAACCGAATAAGTTAAAAGAAACAAAGAATATTTTATTTTTGTAGCTAATCTTCTCACTGTAGTAGAATATAAGAACCAAACGAGGTCTAAACAAAAGCTAGGTGAAATTCTAAACTCTTTTTACTTGAGTTCATCTAATAGTAATTAGTAACCTACATGATTGAAGATGCAAAAAAACTTCCTTAAGCCCATCCAATAGAAAGGTAATGTAAAATTCCATTTCTTAAGGATCCAACATGCTACACCTTTAAAGAAAAAGCTCCAATATTTACAATGGGACACTTGTTTCCTGGAGCCTAAAGGATCCAAAGAAAAAGTTGGGATACCTAAAAATAACAACATATCCTCTTTTGTACATAGATCATAACTGAGGAAAAAGAGTTACAAATTCCCCTCAAAACACCACCCATACTTCTAAGCCAGGCATATATAAATTTCCGAACTTCTGCCAACCTATGGAGCAGCTCTAGCACCTCTGAAATTAGATCAAATTTATGCCTTAGGATTGATTTTCTCAGCGATATAACCGTAAAATAAACAATGATAATGCATTCTTACCGAGAGAGAGCCTTAAATGAAGGTAGCTCACATTTGTTTTCAATCTGGACAAGACTTTCATTGAAAAATCTGAAATTACAGACGGAATCAAGGATGGAAGAGAAATTAATAAAAAAATGGAATGTTGAAAGTTTGATAATAGCAAGAACTCTTTAGATTTGAAACAACTCATGGAGTTACCAAAGATCTTCACTTATAGGTGCTCAACAAAAATTAGCAAAACCAGGGAGCACCAGAACAAATTCTAGTTCCCTAAAGACCACTCAACTTTCTATTTTCTTTGAAAAGAAAATCCCAGGACAGGTCATAAAAGAAGTCCCTCTCAAAATTGTCAAAAGGGGATAATAAAATCCCACAACCAAAGCTATAGAGACAGCAGGAAGAAAAATGATAAGAGAATCCCAATATGTAAGGTCTATGATTCATCTAATAGAGGAAAATGTACGAACTGAGTACATCCTTTCAATTTACTAGCTGACATTACCTACCGGATTCGCCATTGACCTTTGAAGAAAGACCATGTAATGCAAATTTGGCATAGGCTAGCAACCTGACCCGCTGAGAGGCACCCAACTTGTTAATTATGGATCTTAGTAGTCCGCTGAAAACAGAGAACAGATAAATGAGGGTTTAAACACAAGAAATCGCATCCTCTAAATTTTTATTTTTAGTTTTCATTTCATTTTCTTTTACTCCGTGCTTAATATTCTCAGAAAGTCGGGCGGCAGAGATTCCATGAAAGAAGATATATCCTCCATCTTTAGAGATTTCAGTTCCTCCTTCAAGTTACTTTTCTCTTCAGCTGACATTCCCTTGCCAAGAGCCAGTTTACTGTGATTACATGGCAAAACTGCCATTAGTTGATGTCATCTTGAAAAAATGCTTCTCAATGTGATCAATAATTGAAAAAATGCTTCATTCGAGGAATATGAATCTCAATGCATCCAATAAAAATATCCCCAGTAAAGAAATAATAAACTGTACTACTTAGCTATTAAAAGTCATCAAGAATTGAAGAAGCCATGATATCTCATGCAATCTAAAAGGATGCAAACAAGATTTCAAGTACCTTATCTTTGTCAAGACACAGACAGCTGATCGTAATTGAACATGGGTAGATGATAAAAATTCAAACTCTCTTAACTTCTAGTGAAAGGTAAAACAATCAACTACCTGTCAATAGTTCTTCCCGTAAAAATGACTGGAAAGTACCTAGAGTACTTTGCAACGCCAAATTGTTCACCCAAATGATGTATCTTATTGGAGTCCAGAACTATCAGAGATTTCCAAAGCTCACAATAGTTCAATCTAAATTCTTCATCTAGCTGTCTGTAAATTCCGTGATCTAACAGAACTGCATGATTTAACCACCAAAAAAAAAAAGAAAAAGCATCATAAGCCCGAGGAGAATTATAAGTGTTTCAAGTTCAGATTAAAGGTCCATATATCTTACAAGATCAGCAGGACATACCCAATGAAAACCCACTTGGACCTTCTGGAGAAACTAATATGTTACCAGGGTGTGGATCACCATGAAGAAAACCATGAACAAAAATCATCTCAGCCAACACCTCCGCCAATACTTTTGCCACCTATACCAAAACATAGGCAAATAAAGACTTGAGAAACATTTGCATCGCTATTCTCATCTATACTGGCAAATATAAATGCCTTCAGATCGGGGAAGTTCAGAAGATATTATAGTGCCTCAATCTACCAACGCTGCATCACTGATGGACGGTAAAATTGTTCACAGTTGACTTCTAATGATATTTGTTGGCTAATACACATCATACTCTGAATCTTGATTTATTTTAACAACATTATAGATAACAAACAGATTAACAGCTTGAACTACTTATCAATAAGTCCTTGGGTCTGATTAGCTCAACTTTTAGTGATTTAAGCATAGTCCAGCTTCAGTCTAGTTTCAGTGCCAAGTAAGAAATATCAGGAAGCCCACCCTACCATACTTTCCCTCGGCCTGTCAGTCTCGTAAGCAAACAACATGATAGAAGTTTTACCTATTTATTGCTGCTGAATCAATGTCGGTTCTCATAAAAAGATTTATTGCGAACCTCTTTCCAAGAATTTTAAGACGTTTACAAAGTTAATCTTCGAGAACTAAACGGTGAGTGGATAAATTAATACAAGGCAAGTTCAAACACCTTAATGTTTCATGAAACCAACGAAAAGCATCTTCATGGAGAATTCAAGCACTTAATGTTTCAAACTTTAAATTGGCTCAGGTTATTCACGGAGAATTCAATTTCACCACCCAGATTGCAGAATTCATGTCATTATGAGAACAAAAATACAACAAAAAGGAAATTTCAACAATCAACCTTGATTGGATCAATTCCCTTGTTCTTCATATATGCCACATCATCAACCTGAAATCTATGAAACATCTTGTTAGTAGCACACAACAATCACAAGTCAAAAACATCAAAAATGTATACACCAGGGAGACCAAGGAAAAGAAATCTCGAAGATTGAGAGTAGTTTTCTTTAATTGTGAATATTATAAATTCGCGGTTTTACAGTTTTTCTTTAATCTTCATTTGACAATGTTATAACCTGTCCCAGCCAAGTTTTAGACAATCTTAGAAAATGCTTCTAGTTACGACTCATGAGGCTTCAAAGACATCCCATCCTTTATTTTGTATCTTGTAATTCTTCCCTTTTTTTTCCATATATTAATGGAGGTATCTGTTGTTATCCAAAATTAAAAATGCAAGAGGTAGCTATTTTCCTAGTAGAACATTTAATGTGGACCAAAAGCAGGAGAAGTAGAGCAGAGCGTGTAGCATTAAGAAATTTTGAACTGACTCACATATTTAAATGGCATAACATGTTAAGCAGGTTAAAAAAAGGTATACCTTATGTCCCCTGCAAAATTGCATAGTCAGAACCTGATTGGTTGTCAGGCCCTGGATACGTATTATGGTCAGCCAGATGCTTACACAAATATTATATTAGAACAATAAATGTGTGAATAAATTGAGTGTGAAATCGATGATAATTACATAAACTTGTAAGGAAGAGCCCAAGGGTTGGTCATACCCAAAATACACGAGGAACCTTGACCACTTTGTTGTTTTTAAAGTTATTGGCAGCTTTCTCAGAATTTCTAGCTTCTTGAACAAAGTCTGTGGAAAAGCAAGAGAACAAAATCCTTTTAGAGCATGTTTGTTTGACTGGATTAGATCACCGTATTGTATAATAATACAATAATATAATTTGGTGTGACCATCGTATTGTATAAATTAATACGGATGATAAATTGATACGATCTATGTCGTATTATTGAATACGGCTCATTTTTGACTTATTGTATTGTATTATTTTAAATTAATACGGATGATAAGTTAATACTGTCTATGTCGGAGTCGGGCTGACATAAAGTCATGTCGGAGCCTATAATTATTAAAAAATTCAGGGGGCACAATGCAAATTTTATATTTATTAAAAATTACATTTGACCCCAAAACTTTTGTAAAATTGCATTTTTGACCCAAATTTTCAAAAATTACATTTTGACCCCAAAATCATTAAAATTTTGCATTTTGACCCCTTGTACAATACGTCATGACACCAAATACCGTATTGTATTATGATAATACAACACAATGCAACACAATACAATACACCTTATACAATACAAGCTACCAAACATGACCTTATAGTCTTAGGCCCTGTTCATTTCACCGATTCAAGTTTAGAATTCGAGTTTTGCTACAGTAAAAAGCTCTCAGAAACAGTCACATCTAACTTTTTTACTACAGTAAAAAGCTTTTACATAAAATCACATCTAAACTCGAATTAAAAACTCGAATCAGCGAACTACATGGGCCCTTAGTTTCTCATATTGACTTATAGTCTACTGTTCAGGTCACGAATGTTAGAATAGAACACAGAATAAAAAGTATTAATTAGCCAAATCTCTGTATGATTCAGACTATTCATATAAATTTCACTGTTTAATAAATGTCAGAAGTAGTTTTGGCAAGAGACCGATTCAATATAATGACAAATAATGATAGACATTTTGATAGTGCTCTGGCATAATAAGTTTGACAGTGTATACTAAGTTCAAAACACGCAAAATCTTCAGACGAAAATAGTCGTTAATGCATCAAATATAATTAAAAAAAATCATTAACAATTTCATGCCTAGCAACCTTTATAACTTACAGGGTTTCAGACACACACATAAATATGCACATGTAATTGTGCATATATCCATCTATATAAGCATAGATACAATGGATATATCAAAACTTTATGAGAACTTTGGAAATTCATTTTCCTAAAAAAGGAATCAAAACATATAAACAGCTACTTACAATCTGCAACTTACCAAGTTCCAGAACAATGTCTTCCACAAATGCAGACAATAACCACTCGAATCTGTATTCTGGGAAAAACTATAGAATAAAAGGGCATTACAACCAAATAGAAAGACTTCAAGAAAACAGAAAACAGAGAAACTACAGAAAAGAACAAAAACAGTGATAAAATAGACAATTTACGAGGTAATAAACAAGCTAGCATACAATAGTCCAACTAATGGCGGGGAAAATGGTTACAATGTTTATACTAGGATTTATCTGAGATTAAATCAATTGTTAAATAATTTCTCCAAGAGCTGCCAACCTTAATTCCGTGTAAAATAAAATTAACACAAAAATGTTACAGTTCCTCAAAAATTTCAACCACAGTCAAGCAACTGAGTCAAATTCTTAGCTCACCTTGTGGAGTTGAGGAGGTGTTGGAGAACAGAAAAAGAACTTCAAGATCACATTAGAGAACATTTTTAGCCTCATTCCAGAGGATATAGTCAAAATGATTTCAAATATCACATATGGTTTAAACTAAAATAAAAACAACGTAAATAATTTGCTATAAGCATAAAGTATTATGATTCAATAAATTCAGTGCACACCCATGCAACCGATCTTGAAAGGAAAGACATGGTCGTTATGTCTATTTTCAACTGCTGCTGCAACCCAGGGTACTGGACCTGCTCTCCTTGCAAGAAAACCATTTAGGAATTAGCTACTCACTTGTATCGATTTTCTTATTCAGTAAAATAATATTTATGTTGTATGTGTATTTCCCACCATGACCTGTAAGAGTCTTGGAAGAAAGGCATTTTTCACATTTTTTTCTCCCTTCTCTAGAATGCAAAGTGAAATGTGCAGAACCAGTACATTCAGAAAATCATATAAGCACAGTCAACTAATATTAATTCAGGCAAACCTTAACTGCTACTTCATGACCATCCTTTAAAACTGCTCGGTGCACTTGAGCAATGGACGCAGCAGCTATAGGATTTTCATCAAAGGAGAAAAATCTGAGGAGTATATAGATCCCGAAATCATTGAAAGAGTCCTAGACTTTCAAAATTACAAAATTTTAGTGCAGGAAAATTGAAGTACAAATATTTTCACGTCAAAGCTTTCAACTGTTCTAATGATACTAGGCATTAAGTTCATGCATATACCTCATTGCTTAGGTTTCCGAAAAGACAAATCAGTGTTAATGATAACTTACATTTCTGAAAGATCCTGACCCAGATTCTGTATTAGAACTTCTTTGATGGCTTTGAAATGACAAGGAACTGCCTAAGAGCATTAAAAAGAGCAAAACGCCATATAATTCAGTTAGAGACACCTATGCAATCACGCACCAAAAAGGAGATGTTAGCTGCTATCAAATTTGTAATTCCAACCTGATCTTGTAATGAAGAAAGAATCGACGAGTATTCTTTCGGAACCTGTCGCAATGCAGCAACAAACTGACCACCTTTCACATAAAAGCCTCTGTTGGCTTCACATAATTTGAGACTTCTCTCGGCAGAGCGTAAGTGAACCTATAATAGAATTCACAGATCACCTGACATAGTTCTCCAATTCTCCAGCAGCAAAAACATGTCAAGTCTATCATTTTATTTTATAACAGTTATCAAAATCCAATAACATTTCGCAATCCAAGTGTAATCTAAACTATGGTTAGGAAATACTGTAAAATGACATTTTCGAGTATTATGAATATTATTGGTGTTTATTTCATTAGAAACATGAATTTGTGTCTGCTTGACGCTTTGTATTCATTTCTGTCATTTTGAACAAATTAAACAGCTTAGGGTTAAAAAAAAAAAAGAACATTTGGTAGCATTTTCCGCAATAAAATTTCTTGACCACACTTTTGAGACACCAAAAATAAAATAACAATAATTTCTTGAAAAAGTTTTCCTTTGTTGATCTCTAACCAAACTAGTTCAGTTACCTTATTTCTGATTTTAGAATGCAAATTATACACAGTTCCACTTTTTTTTTTTTTTTACTTTACAAAACATCTTCGAAAAACAATTACCAAACATGTTTTGAAAACACGACTTCAATAACTATTCCCAAAGTCTAAATTCAAAATAAATTGAGTCTTTCGCGCAAAAATATCTCAGCTATGAAAGCTTTTTTTTTTTTTTTTCTCGCTCAAAAGTGAAAACCAAGTCCTTGAGACTAAAAATTGATGGATTTCAGAGTGGCTAACCTCGGATAATTTGCGACGATACTCGTCGGAGTTGCTTGGGAGGCCATGTAAGGAGAACTTGTAGTCGATGGCGGTGAGAGTGATCTGCAAATCAACCGTGTTTTGCAGTGTTATTCTCGGAAGTTAAGAAGTTCGAGAACAGAATGCGAGAAGAGAGAGAGAGAGGGACGGACGGTGGAGATTGCTCGAGAGGAGCGGATGACGGCGTGGATTGCGGCGGAGAATTGATTGAAAGGAGGAGGAGGAGGAGAAGAAGAGGGATTGAAGAAGAGAGGGAAAGAAAGTCCGGCGGCGGCTGCGCCTATGCACACGGCGGCGCTTTTCCACTTCATCATTCTCATTTTCTCATTCAGCGCGCGCCGGCCCGCTCCGATCTCACCGCCAACGCCCACTAATTCAAAGCTTTTTATTTTTATTTTTTTAAACACCACTAATTTAAGGGTTATTAGCGATGGTAATCCATGATTTAGTGCATTCTATCACTTTAGGCCCTGCACCGTTAATTTTAAGACATTAATATTCCGTCTTGAATTAGCAATGTTAGTCCATGAATTAGTGCATTCTGTCACTTTAGGCCCTGCACTCTTAATTTTAAGAAATTAATTCCGCCTTGAATTGGTAATGTTAATTGTTAGTCCATGAATGAGTGCATTCACTTTAATCTCTGTACCATTAATTTTAAAAAGTTGATTTCTAAACTTTAATTATTGAATATTTTTGTCCTCGTATACTAAAATTGACGATTGGATATCACGAAGACCATCATGTCCTAATTGTATAATAAATGATTTTTTTTACATAAATAGTTATGTTAAATGTTAAATATTATCTATTATTTTAATAAATTATTAACAACTAGTTCATTGTGTATCAAATGTTACTATTTTTTATTAAAATTTCAATTACTATGCATCTACGAGTGATTATCTCCGAGATATTTTAAAATTTATTTGTCAATTTCAGGACTTAGAGATTAAAGTGGTCAAAAGTAAAAGTTCTAGGGGTAAAAAGATCAAGGTTAAAGTGACACAACGCATGTAATTTAATTACTAATTGCACTAATCACCCCTGATTCAAAGATTAATTCTGCAATAGTGGACCATTCACATGGGCATTGATGTAATTTTGCTGTAAGGTTTTTTTTTTTTTTTAACTAAGAATTAGTTTTATTGATGTTTTTGGATTTTGTTTGATTGTTGAAAATTGCCATTCTGATTTTTAGTTGATATTGGTTAAAGTTTGCTATCTTGATTTAGTTCGTGTGTTTGGCTATTTGTGTTCTTGTGTTGATTACTTTACTGTTGTTGGAAGATTGATATTTGTTGTAAATTGGGTTGTGAGGTTGATTTTAGTAAATTCAAGATAGCACAATTGTGGTTTCACTTTCTCATCAAAACCAGATCCTTAATCCGTGTAATGTTCGACAAAAGCAAATTTTATGTGCATTTGAAATTGTTGGCACTTCGAATCCCTCGCAAACTTTTCAAGGTCGCAACTCGGATGCTAAACGGGTAAGTCTCCGCAATCTGGATAATACACAACAATTAGTATATGTTAGTATGCTTATATGAATACTAGAATTGATCTTCCTTTTGTTTTTCTAACCTTCAAATTCCCGAATTTGCTCTTATATATTCTGCTGCCACTGTACTTTCAGCTATTTGCTTGATAAGCCTCGCATTAAAACAATTACTGAAGACCAACATGCGAAAAGAAACGTTACATGATATTGACTGAAAGGGTCCAAAATTCTGGTAAGGAGTTATTATTTGATCAAAATGTGTGGTCTATTATAGATTGTCATTTTGCTTGACACTCTTTATCTCTTACAGAATGATAAAATTTGTGCTTTGCGGCAGATTTATCCGATATCCCTAATGACAAACTCGACGAGATTTATGTAGTTCCCTTTTCACTAACTCTGGGATACTCATAATGGCGTACAGGTTAGTGATGAAGCAATCCAGTTCTTCTGCCATGTATTTTGATAAACGATCAATTTGTGATTGATATTTGCCTATTTGGTTTTCAAATGATCATATCTTGAAACAGTTACGGCCTCCCGGAGTCAAGTCCTTTTTATCTTTCAAAACAATAGGTAAGTATTATGTTAGCAAAAATATAGATAATACAAAGAAGAAGAACAACTTTTGAGAGATCAAATTAACGAAATTGTACAACACTAATTCAACATTTCTACCAAACTCGGAAAACAAATTGTAAGGATGTCGAGGCACGTGAATCACGCTTTCCTTAAAATAGATTCGTCCCCTCCGATGAGTGCTTGAGGTAACGTTGGACGTCCGTCTTCCAGGATACAACGACAACGATGGTAGCTCGAAGTACTATCGGAACCATCCGGTAAATTAGAACTCGGACATTTTCTCTATCACCAAAATGGAACTACAAAAAATAACACAAGAGAAACTTGGAGAATAAGAGAAAGAACTCAAGAGAGAGACCCTACGCGTGAGAGAACCTCTTTAGTATACATGCTTACCTAGGCTTCAAAGTGCAATCATTTATAAACACCACCAAGGCTTCATTTCTAGCCAATGTGAGATTTTTTATAATTTCTAACTACCTTAACCATTTCAAGTGACATACTTAGAACATCAATTTTTCATTCACTCAATATCTATTTTGAGTATATGAATACTCGATTTCGATCTCCTCATAATAGAAAATGCAAATCTATCGAAACCCGTCTCAAAAACTAATTGGGCCCCTTTCTAAAATGGGTCTTTTATATGGCTTTACAAGCCATTTTCCAACATATTCAAGTCGTAAGGCTACTTCATTTCCTTTTTTTTCTAATTTCATTTTAACCAGGTAGTTTTCGTTTCACTACTATTGCTTCATGCGGACCGACGAAACCCAATAACTCGACCTTCTTTACGTTATGCTAAACATTTCATCAAGTCTTTAGTAGTTTCTTAACCTTCTCCAATATTGGGGAGGAAAGAATATCCATTAAATTATTATCAAGCAAATTCATTGTGGAAAATGTAGCATTGAACCTCTTTTATCCATGTTATTAAGAAAAAAAGTCTTGATTGGTGACACCTTTCTTGTTTTTGTTTTTGTTATGGAGGGAAATCGCCTTAATGTTCAACAATAAAATCTTGTTTCTCTAAGGTCTAAATTGCTTATCTAACTATTATGCAGGAGGCGGAGGCTGCCTTGGGCGCCTCTATACAAGACACAATTTTTCACGAGATTAGGGATGTTGCTCTAAACAAGGTACCGTAATCACGCCCTTTTTTAAGACGCGTTACTCAGTTTAGTTTATGTTTCAATTTTTTCGTGCCTCGGTACATTTTTTGGACGCATAATGGCCGTCCTTCTCGGACTTTTGTTGTGCATGCAATGTTTTGCCGAACCTTCTGACTGCCAGAATCTTGTTGTCATAATAACGTTTCAAGCGCCAAGGCAGGATGAGAATTCACGTCATGAATCTCCTTTCTTTGGTGGCAATTACGGTTTGACGGTTTCTTTGAGCACCAGCTCTATTGTGAAAGCTTTTATATTACTGACTGAGAAGGAAAAGTATGTGACATCTACTGATTTTGGAGTTTTCAACATTCAATATCATCTTTTTTTTTTGGGCTAAAATTTCAATGATCAATATTTTACGATTGTTGGTGATAGTGGTTTGCTTTGGATTGAATTTGTAATAGGCGTGCTAGAGTACTGGTATTTTTTAACTTTTGCGGCCTAATGGTACATTTGCAATACGCCGTTTGTCGTTTTGTCGTGCAAGTGATGGATGTCGTTTAAGTGAAACTTAAAGCCACCGTTGCTTCTGTTGGAAAATGGCTTGTTAAGCCATGTAAAAGACACATTTTGAGGCCCATATTGTAAAGGGGCCCAATTAGATTTTGAGACGAGTCTTAGAACCCGTTCACTTCACCAATTCGAGTTTAGAATTCGAGTTTTGCTACAGTAAAAAGCTCTCACAAACAATCACATCTAACTTTTTTGCTACAGTAAAAAGTTCTCACATAAAATCACATCTCAACTCGAATTACAAACTCGAATCGGCGAAGTGAACGGACCCTTAATGAATTTGCATTCTTTGTTACAAGAAGATTGAAATCAGATATTCATATGCTCAAAATGAATATTTGGTGCAAATCACTACCTCAGCGGGTTAGGAGCCCAATGTGTGTGTTCGCGACTTGCAGACACAAATGCCGGACCGAAAGGCTCATTCCGGCCTTGTTTTGCAATTTTATTTTTACCCCTTCTAGCCAAACCAAACTTAATAACCATAATGGTTGGTAAATGAGTTTTTGGTGTGCTTAAGGAGAGTATGGGGGCTAACCATAATGGAGTGCTTAATGGTTTGTAAATGAGCTTTATGGTGTGCTTAAGTAGAGTAATGAGGCTTAATGAAGGAAAAACCGAATTAGGCTTAATGGCTTCGGTTTTTTTTTTCATAAAAAATCAGAACCTTGGTGTAGAAAAGTGGTCGGATTCATCCTGCGAAAATTGAATGACATTAGCCCCGTAATAATGTGTGTTTAATTCTCATTAATCCATGTTTTGTAACACTCTTTATCAAGGGCCTATATAAAGGGTTCTCCACATGAAGGAAAAGACACATTCTTCTCCTCCCACGGTTTCTCTCTTCTCCTCGACCTCTTCTCTTGCAATTCTTTTGTAGTGTGTTTTTAGTGATAAAGGGAAGGTTCAGTTCTAGTTCATTGAGATGGTTCTGATAGTGCGTCGTTCTACCGTCGTTGTCGTTGTATCCTGAGAGACGGACGTCCAACGTTATCTCAAGCACTCACCGGAGGGGACGAATCTGTTTTAAGAAAAACGTGGTTCACGTGCCTCGACATCCTTGCCAATTCGTTTTCAAATTTAGTAGAAAGGATGTATTTGAGTTGTAACAATTCTTAATATATTGTTTTTGCAGTAACTTTAGGGTACGTTTGGTAGATAGATCCAGAATCATGATTATGGATCTTAATTCAGAATCAGTGTTTAGTTTATATGATGTGATGTTTTAAACTAGCTCAAATCGTTATTCTAAAACCACCCATCCTCTTGATTCAAGGTGATTCAAATATATGATTCTTAATTATAGTTTCAAAATCATGATTTAAACCCAAAATCATGAATCATGATTATAGTTTTAGAATCATGATTAGAATCACTCTAATTTAAATTATCATATCAAACGAATTCTTATTTATATTATTCTTCTTTGTATTTTCTATATTATTGTTAACAGCTTCTACTTTGCGTGTACTCAAACGATGTGTGCGTGTTTTTTTTTAATGGATGTGTATTTTGTTTTGTTTACAGGTTTACTAATTTAGTCGTTTGGTTGTCGGTGTGCTAATTTCACTTATTTATGTTTTAGGGTTGTTTTTC